AAAGAACCAAGAAAGAGCTAGAGACCAGACTGTAGTTTCTTTTGATAGAGATGGTTCTTAGACTACCTTTAGAGCTTGGAGATGGTACCGAGCACTTCAGCATCTGAAGAAGTATGTCTCCGATGCTGACTGAGTCCTGGCACTGCTCTCCCTTGCCGGTGCCCAGGAAGAAGCAGAAGGCTTCCAAGGACACTGCTGGGAGATGCAGATCCCCGGTCCCTAAGTCAGCCAAGAAAGGGGACGGTGTAGAGTGCAGTCAAAACTGAAGCACTCCTCCACTCATCTGCTAAATCAGCACCGTTGACTCTGGCAGGGACTGCCAAGTCTGGGTCCTGAAGAAGCATCTTCATCAGTTCCAACACTGTCTACATCTCTTGCACATCAGTCAAAGACTATCCCAGTACATCTACTCCAAAGATGTCTTAAGCTGCAGTGGACTTGCTGAGCTTATCAGTGCTGTTTTACCAGCGATGCAGATTGCTTATATGGTACTGCGTGGTGCCAGCTCCTCAGTGCAGTTCCTAGCACCGAGTCAATCTCCTGAGTCTTGGAGCTCTTATCCTTCACGCTTCCCTGGACTCTTGGCACCAGTCCCTGGCAGTGACTGGATTGGCCCCTCCTTGATCAGGAGAAGGTGACTCTTTTTCTGACTCAGATCTTTGCTCTTATGTTCCCCAGCTGCAGTGTGTGTCTTGCTGTTCGCCCCCCGCCTCCCTGACCTTACCACCCTGGGTACACTTGCAAGACCCTGTGAGTGGTGCTGGCATGGACATGTGGCCTTCAAGACTTTGGGGTCCAGCGCCCTTTCAATTGCCCTTGGGGGTTCCCCCTGTTTCCAGATCACCCTCCCCAAGTTCAGTTTCCTCAGCTAAACATGATGAGTCAGCTCATCAAGCCCATTATTGGGTCCAATACCAAGCAGGAAGAAGGTGTTCATGAACATTTGGCAGGACGATGAACAGAGGAGACACAGCCTCAGCTTGTGCTGGGTTCATCTTTCTCCTCACCAGGTGAGGCAATTTCCTCAGGAGTGCCTTTGCCCCCTTCTGATGACTAGAGGGTCCACCAGAAGCTCTTAAAAAGAGTGGTTCAAGTAGAAGAGGTCAGGAAATTTTCTCCCCGTTTCATTGATATCCTGGCCTCTGCTGCGCCATCTCGAGTGGCACTGACAATTTAATGAGGCAATTTTAGAACCTAGCAAGTGTCTCTGGCAAACTTCCTCCTCACTCCTTCTCACATCCAAATGAGTGGAGCATAAATATTATGAACCCGCCCAGGTTTTGAGCATTTTTATTCCCATCCCCCTCTGGGGTCACTAGTATCAGCTTATGTTGAGTGGGAGCTCCAGGGGCAACTGACATCTACCCCTAAATCAAGGGGTGCTAAAAAGCTGGATTTGTTCAGTAGAAGAAATTACTCTATGGCAGGGTGATATGCCATCATGTGCCAGCAATGCCCTTCTGCCATGTACATTGGCCAAACCGGACAGTCTCTACGCAAAAGAATAAATGGACACAAATCAGACGTCAAGAATTATAACATTCAAAACCCAGTTGGAGAACACTTCAATCTCCCTGGACACTCGATAACTGATCTAAAAGTTGCAATTCTTCAACGAGAAAACTTCAAAAACAGACTCCAATGAGAAACTGCAGAACTGGAATTAATTTGCAAACTGGACACTATTAAATTAGCCTGCAATAAAAACTGGGAGAGGATGGGTCATTATACAAACTAAAAACTATTTCCCCTTGCTAATTTTCCCCCTACTGTTACTCACACCTTCTGATCAGCTGTTTGAAATGGGCCATCCTGATTATCACTACAAAAGTTTTTTTTTCTCCTGCTGAGAATAGTCCACCTTAATTAATTAGTCTTGTTAGAGTTGGTGTGTGTATATGTGTGTGTGTGTATCTATCTATCTATCTATCTATCTATCTATCTATCTATCTATCTAATCTTCCTACTGTATTTTCCACTGCATGCATCTGGTGAAGTGGGTCTTAGCCCACGAAATAAATTTGTTAGTCTCCAAGGTGCCACAAGTACTCCTTGTTCTTTTTGCTCATACAGACTAACATGGCTACCACTCTGAAGCTTAGACTCACTAACCAGAGGGCTTTATTAGGGTGATATGACTTTAATATCTGGGAAGCCATTCTAAAATTTAAGGACAAGTTGTAAGGCCTCATGCATCTAGAACCTGGGCCTGTAGATCTACCGGGCAGCTGACATCTCCCGGCTACCACCCAGCAGCAGCTGCAACTAACTTGCGCTCCACTTTCCATGACCCACCGTGGACATAGACCGTGGGAAGTTCCGTCTCAAAGGTTTGACAGACGGCAGCCCCATGCCTCCCAATTGGCTCCCTGCCCTATATAAACCCAAGGATAGTTCCAGGAAGTATCCAGGCAACAGCATGGATCTTCTCTAGCTGCCACGACCATTCCTGCTTCTTGGTCTTGAATTCCTGGCTTAAAACTTGGCTTGATATGGACTTTGCCTCCTGATTCAGACTCTGACCCTTGTTATCGACCCTGGCCTGGCCCTGACTCCGAACTCCTCTGCTATTCCTAGCCTCAGGTTTGATGAAGGAAAATGAATGGCAAGAACGTCACTCCAGGCTGGTTTGGACATGGCTGATTCAGGTTCTAGGACCGTTGCCTTTGCCATCACCATACCCAGATGCTCATGTCTACAGTCTTTGGAGTTGCCCCAGAAGGTTCAGCAGACTCTGTAGGACCTGCTATTTGAAGGTCCATCCCTCTTTTAATCTCAGACTGATGATAAACTTCACAGCTTAAAGGAGTCTAAGATGACTCTGAAGTCTAGGAAGCACTTTTGTCCTCAGCTGTACCACAGCTACTCCACTTCTACACCTTGTCAGGGTATATAGAGGAAAATGAATAGGAGTTATAGACGCAAACTGGCTCTTGCTGCTGCTTCAGCATTTCCTGGTCCATCTAAGTGCCCTGGGGTTGCTAAGCAACCATTTTGGTGGTGCAATCGAGGATGCCAAACCAGTCTTTGAAACAGCAAGGTTTGTTCTGTTAGTTCCATCAAAGTCTACTTAGCAGCTATCTTGGCCTTACTCCCTCAGGTGGATAGTTGCTCTGTCTTTTTTCTAATAGAATGTCAAGAAGATGTTTGAAAGACTTGGAAAGATGTATCCTCAGGAACAAGATCCTGTTCCCTAATGGGATCTAAACTTTAAATTGTCCTTTTGAGCCTTTAGCTACCTGCTTTTTTTACTGCATATTTCAATGAAAGTAGCATTTTTTGGTGGCCGTGACTTCTGCTAGGTAGGAGGGGAGGTGAGCTGCAGGCCCTTCCTGATGTCTGGCCCTCCTTATACTGTTTTCTTTAAAGATGAAATGTACCTGCATTCTCATCCA